TGTGTCTGTGTGTGTGTGAGTGTGAGTGTGAGTGTGTGTGTGTGTGTAAGTGTGTACCTGTTTTTCTATTCTGGTGGGGACTTAAACCTGAATACACACAGACTCATGGGGACTCGTGTCACGGTGGGGACCTAAATTCCCTACGGGTAAACAAGCTAATAAATCAAACAGAATGAAGTTTTTTGAAAATCTAAAAATGCAGAAAGTTTCCTGTAAGGGGTAGGTTTAGGTGTAGGGTTGGTGTAGGGCAATAGAATATACGGTCTGTACAGTAGAAAAAACATTACGCCTATGGAGAGTCCCCACAAGGATAGCAAACCAGACGTGTGTGTGTGTGTGTGTGTGTGTGTGTCCACTCACCACCTCAAACGTCTCCTTCCTACTCATCAGAGCGTCTAGTTCCTCTTGAAGGGAATCCAGCTCCTGGATGCAGATGAGAGGAGACGGCGGATGCGTTGTGACAGTGAATAACAGTCGACTTGGAATGACCCTCACAAATCATTCACAGACTTCAATTTAATGCTTAGAGTTAATAGTGAAGCTGTTAACTGAATAAACTAGACTTTATGTGGACCTGCGTCACTTACTGATTTTTGTTTTTAGCATTAACATCCATTTGGCATACACTTTTATCCAAAGTGACTTGGATAAGTGACTAGTTATTTTAGCAGCTCTTGCACTGCCTGGCTGGGATTCAAACCTATGACACTGGTGTCACTAATGCCCGCCATGTTTTACTGTTCATATAGACCCTCACAAATCATTCACAGACTTCAATTTAATGCTTAGAGTTAATAGTGAAGCTGTTAACTGAATAAACTAGACTTTATGTGGACCTGCGTCACTTACTGATTTTTGTTTTTAGCATTAACATCCATTTGGCATACACTTTTATCCAAAGTGACTAGTTATTTTAGCAGCTCTTGCACTGCCTGGCTGGGATTCAAACCTATGACACTGGTGTCACTAATGCCTGCCATGTTTTACTGTTCATATACGACTGTCAAATATTAAACTGGGAATACAAATGAAAACATCCTTTAAAAAATAAACTGAGGAAGTTAAATGCCATTTTTTTTCCTTTTATTTTCTTCTCTCCCCAAGCCAGTAAAGTGCAATCTGCTCACTTGTGCAAAAAACAAAACAAAACAAAAAAGACAAACCCTAGCTCTTCATTGGTGGCTTTCATCTCAGTGTACTTGGCCTGTTTATCAGCTGACATCTTCTGAATTATGTTTTGGGCAGCCTGTTTCTCTTGGACTATATCATCCTCCACAGCTCTGATCATATCCTCTTTCCTGAGAAAGAAAGAGAAAGTTGTTTGTATAGACCATAATCATCCATCCTCACAACACTGAATCTGTCTGCAGCTTTCATCATCATTCAGCATCAGATCTTCCTATCCATCCTCTGGACACTGGGAATCACAGGAACCACACTCCTCTGGATGTACAGGTATATTCTTCAGGGAATCCAGAAGAGGAGCAGTGTTTTCACACCTAGTTCGCTTGAGCCCTCCAAATGTTCTCGGAGTGGTTCAGCTTGTATATGTGAACAAACCAAGTGATCTCGGACCATTTAAATGGTTCGTTTGTGGTTCAATTTCCTCGTGATTTGTCAAAGCAATGAGGTGTCAGTACGTTTTCAATGGAACAACATAACAGTAATGCTTGAGGTTTAACTAAGCAGTTTATTATTTGTATGTTTTTTTTTTTTTATATATATAGATTTTATTATTATTATTATTTACCAACGTAATTCCAGATGTTTTAGACTCTTGTTACATTTCTTAAAAATAAATAAATAAATAGGTAAATAAACCAACTGTTAATTCTAACAATACAAAATAATTATGTTGTCATTTATATAATATATGGCTAGCTGTGCATTAAATTATTTTAATGAATGATGTGAAGGCAAAGAAGCACCCGACGCACAGCAGACAAAAAACAACACACACACACACACACACACACACACACACACAAAAAAACATTTATCAAAGTAACAAAAACAAAGAAAATCAACAATGGGTTAGGTACTACAAGGATTCAATAACTCACTGAACACCATTTACAGTCATATAGCATGAAAAATAATAAAAAAAGAATTATAACAAATAAATAATAAAAACCATTTCCTCAAATACACAAATATAAGCAACACAACGCAACATACTAACATTGTTAGTAGTCCAGAGTAGTCCAAAATGCCAAATTCCACCCATTTCCCACCATACTTGGTATCTTCCACTCCCATAATGCATCACAGAAAATTTATAAAAATAATAACAAAAGTTCTTTCAAGACTTTTAACAAGTCAAGATGGTCAATCTAGGTGAGTCAACAGTTTCTTGAAGCAATATAAATGAAATGTCTATTTGTTTAGTGCTCAGGTGGTCAGTCTGAGACACCATAGATAGTTGAGACACCATATCTTTATCCAAAGGGTGTTAAAGAAAGGGAATCCGGGGAACGGAGAGACAATGACACATTAGTGTTGTTACTTGCATTCTGCTGATACAGTTAGCACACCAGTCCTTAGTGTGGTATTACTGGGGGAATGAGACAAACCCTAGCTCTTCATTGGTGGCTTTCATCTCAGTGTATAATTATTGAGAGAGAGGGGGGGTGGGGGGGATGAAACTTGCGTCTGTGATTTGCGTCTGTGTGTCTCACTCCGCAAACAGTGAAGCTGTGAGTTTAGTTTCCTCAGTTTCTATGCTGTGCTCCTTTCTGTGCATGTGCAGCGTGATCTCCGATCTCTGTGTGTGACTGATGAGTGTCTGGGTGTGGGTTTGTGTGCGTCAATGAAAGCAGCGCTTTAATACAGAACGGTGATTAAACTGACTTTGAACTACCTGTGCATTACAGCCAATCAGAATTGAGTATTCAGACAGACCATGATATAATATTATAGAATTCTTTAGGAAAAACAATAACTACTAAAACTGAACAATGAAATACAGCTTACCTTGAATTAAAAAAAAAAGGATCTTATCTTATCTGAGAAAAGAAGGTAAAATTTGCTTTATACTTAATGTTCCCTTTTAAGTTTAAATTTGACTGAAATGCATTGATAAAGCTCTGTGAATGTCTTGACCGGAGATATGATGAGGGATTTCCAGCTCATCCTCACCCTCTTCCCTTTCCACTTCATCTTTTCCAGTAGGTCAGACTCCAGCATTTCCCTGCTGCACAGAGAGCTGGATTCTGAGTTCTTATGAAGTTGTGGTGTGATCACGAAAGGGTTTAAGATCACTTCAGTGCTCAAGAGGACCAAACAAAGAAACAGGTTCTCTTTTGAGTCCTTTATACTGTTAACACCAAAAGGACTGAGGTCACTTTAAGTGAACTGGGTTTGGATCTTTTCAAACAAACTTGTGACTTTTCCTGGTATACACAACATCACTATTTATCCAGGCACGTAGTGTTTCCTACCACTTGTGTTGATGACACACATCTCTACTTCTCCAGGCTGATGATCCTGCAGTAGCTGCATGAATCTTGACTTGGAAAAAAACATCTCCAATGGTTCCCATTTTTCCATCTAATGAAAACTGATAATCTTACTGTACCTTCCCAGTCACCCCAGCACAGCCAGTAAGATCAGGGTAGCATTTGAGGTCCAACTGAACTTCACAGACAGAGGTCATGCACATCTGTGTTACAACTTCAAGAAAATCAGGTCGTGTTACACAACTCCTTGTCCAGGTTCTCTGTCCTGAACTACCTGAACACACTTGAGCCTAAAGAGCGCAATTAAGCACACTTCACATCTCTGTACACCTAAAAAAAAAACTATAACAGTAACCACAATAAACAACTTTGCTCTCAATAATAATCAAAATTTAGACAATTTACAGTTCCATGGCAACTTTTCTAAATAAATTTAGATAATTATTTCTGTTAATTAAAAAGCTCTAGAATATATCAGAGACTAAAGATTATTTTCATGATTGTATTAAATCAAGAGAGACTAAAGACACCCGCTCACAATCACCTGATTACTGATCACGGACACCTGCACCCACTTACCACACCACTCAAATACTCACTCACCTCTTTCACTCGTCGGCTGGTCTCAAGGTTACAAGCTTCTCCGCATGGGTTCCTTGCCTCCCGATCTGCCTACCAAACCTCGGATTCCTCTGTTCTCGGCCGGAGGACCAGAGTGCCGACCCCAGATAAGACTGTGTTCTATGCTTCCATGTATCCCTACGTTTGACTCTTTTCTGTTGGAAGCTCCTCCTCAGTTCCTATTAATAAACTCTCTGCCTTATGTTAACCTGTTTGTTTGCCTCTTTGTCCCGAATGTGACAGAAGACCAGCCCCTCAAGATTAAACGGATTACAACACGGACTCATGGATCCTCAGAGCACTTCCTCACCGGAACCCTCACACAGTCGGACTTTCACCGCCTCTCTACCCGCCTGTCCCATGGCCCGGCCAGCCAGCTTTTCGGGTGAGGCAGCCCTCTGCAGCGGGTTCTTGCTGCAATGTTCCCTCTACCTGGAGATGCAACCACACCTGTTTGTGACTGAGCGGGCCAAGGTGTCGTTCATTAGCTCGTTGCTGTCTGGACGAGCCTTGCAGTGGGCCGAAGCCTTGTGGACCGCACAGAGCCCGTGGATTCACTCGCTGGATGGTTTTGTGAAGCACTTCCGGGAGGTATTCGGCCAATCGACCACGGAGGTCACCGTGCATGAGGAGCTCTTTCGACTGCGACAAGCCGAATCATCCATCCACGGATATGTGCTGCGCTTCCGCACTCTCGCTGCCAGCAGCGGCTGGAACGAGGCCGCCCTGCTCTCGGTTTTCCGCCGAGGCCTCAACCCAGGCTTACGCCAACAGATGGCCATCTACGATGACACCGTGGGCCTCGACAGTTTCCTCCAGAAGGCGGTTCGCATCTCCCAGCACCTAACCGCATGCCATATGGAATCGATTGCCGCTGTCTCACCCAGCCTCTCCGCTCCAGCACCGGAGCCCATGATCACGGATAGCTACCACCTATCGTCCACGGAACGATCTCGGAGACTCACCCATGGCCTATGTCTCTACTGTGGATCCCATGAGCACCAGCTCCACACCTGTCCCATTCGTCCACCACGCCCAGCGGTGAGTACTATCCAGATCACTCCTGATGTGTCTTGCATGCCTCATATAAATGCTCTTCTAATTTATCACACCCAATCCTTTCCAGTCAAAATCCTCGTGGACTCTGGAGCCTCGGGGAATTTCATCTCCTCCCGTAGTGTCGCCGGATTGCAAATTCCCCGCTGCAAAAATGACACAACCTACCAGATCACCACTGTACAGGGAAAGCCGCTGGGCAAGGGGCTGGTGCGGCACCGCACGCCCGTGGTCGTTCTACGGATTGGATGTTTCCACGCCGAGCGGATCTCTCTACTGGTGCTGGAGGAGGCCGTCGTGGACATCGTCCTGGGACGCCCCTGGCTCGCCAAGCATCAACCCACCATCGCCTGGAAGTCTGGAGAAATATTCACGTGGAGTGGGGAGTGTAAACAGGAGTGTCTCCAGGATTTACCTATACCGCTCTCCGTCCGGAATGACCTCTCTGCCTGTTCCACCTCAGTGGAAAACCAGGATTCCTCACCTGTCACTCCTCCTCCTCCCGAATATCAGGCGTTCCAGGACGGGTTCAGCAAGCTCACTGCCACTCACCTTCCACCTCACCAGCCATGGGACTGTGCCATTGACCTGCTGCCTGGGGCCCACATACCCAAAGGACGCGTCTACCCACTGTCGATCACGGAGAGAGCCGCTATGGAGGAGTACGTTCAGGAAGCCTTGCAACAGGGGTTCATCCGTCCATCCACCTCACCCGCAGCGTCGAGCTTCTTCTTCGTGGCCAAGAAAGATGGGGGGGCTGAGACCGTGCATCGATTACTGGGCCCTCAATGACCAAATGGTGAAGTTCGCCTATCCCCTTCCTCTGGTTCCGGCGGCCTTGGA